AATGGACTTTTTGTATTATAGCATCAAAAAAAGACTTTTGTATTATAGCATTCGTACAATAGACTTTGTATATAACATTCGAATAATGGACTTTGTATACACCACATCATTTTTCTCTTTAAATTTTACTTACGAGTCACAAAACGCGCATCCTAACATTAACACTAATGACATCAACACCGCGACATCAAAAAAACCAATCGATTACCTATGTTCAAATGATTCGACTACTGTGCGTTGAATTGTTGATAATTCAAATAGACATTGGTTTGTAAATAATTCTGGACATGGTGGGGGTGGGGGCTATAAATATAATGGAATTTTCGTAGATAGACTTTGAACATGGGGGGGGAGGGTGCTAATTATACATGGACTTTTCGTAGATAGTATGTTATAGATTTATATATTTATTAACATTATTGAAAATCATTCAATTCAATAAGTTTTTAATTTGAAAAATGCATCGAATTTATCCTCCTGCCCTGAAAATATTAAAGCAATAATGCCGTATGTCCAATGGTTAATTCAAGTAAGAAACCAGAATCACAGGAAAGATAGCAAAGATGTATTTGATTTTAGTGTTTTAATATTACGCATATATACTCCCGAAATTAAAATAAATTTTCCTCGCTCTGAAGCTACCATTTGTGTGAATTGCATAATACGTGTACATTTTAATATGATTTTACAATTTGCATTATCAATACAACCGATTTGCATGTGTAACAACATGGAAAAAATTATGTTTCGCGTTTTTCCCCTTTTTTTGTTATTGTTGACCCTAAATTTTTTTCTTTTAAACATACACTAGATGCAAGAAAAATGTGCCGTAACCCGATGATAGTATAATGGTCTCTTGCCAAGTATAAAGAAACAGGAAAAATGAAAATTTACCACCATCTGGGAGACCATAAGCTCTTAACATCAAGAAAAACAATACACATACAGTATACCAGAAGCCAAAAAAGTTATCCTGAGCCATTTTGTTCATTGATTTGAGAGAACATGATACTTCAAAAAAATAACACTTGATCTACATTGGGAAAGAAGCCACAAAATCGATTCAAATAGAAAAAATCAACGATTAGAGTGTAGACTCAATGCCTTGAGAAATCAAAGCAATAAAGCCATATGAAGAGCATGTATTAGTTAGTGGTAAAAAAAGATTTTTATATACATAAGACAAAAATAAAATAAATCAGTATGTATCTGAAATTCATTTTAAAAAAAATCGGGCATTATATTGAAACATTAGATTTTTTATTCGGGCGATGTTCAACTATTAACGCACCAATAATCATGTTTATGATCTAAAGTAATAATCATGTGAGGCATTGCAGACATTCATATGATAATCACATGCATAGCGTTATTTAAATGTATAGTACGGTAATACATGTACATACATTTATTTACATTTCTTTGATAATATGGAAATAACAGACAAGATTTCTAATCTTTACTTAAACCATCCAACTGATTGTGCAGACGAAGAAAATGTTTTTTTATCGTTATCTTCATCATCTAAATCATTGTCGTCATCAACAATTACCAATAAGAAAGAAGAATATGTTGCTCTTAAGAATCAAATTAATGAATCTGAGGAATGGGAAAAGTTTTTCAACGGATTACGAAAAGAATTTGAACAAGCTGTTATACGTGGTGAATCAGAAAACACATTCCCAATGTTAACTAGATTCATCAAAGAAAGAAATCACGATCCTGCAAAGATACATGAATTACTTGAGACCGAGGAATATCGAATGCAGTATGCTTTAATTAGGGGTGTATTTCATCAATATGGAATTGGAACTGATCGGGATATAGATAAAGCAGTTGCTTGTTATCACTTGACTGAAGAGACAGGTGACACATATGGACAAGTAACATTGGGAAATTGTTATCTCTACGGACTAGGCGTTAAACAGGACTACGAGAGAGCATTTAAGCTCTATGGAAAAGCATCAGAAACGGGATGTTCAAGAGCAATGTGCAATGTAGGTTATTGTTACGATTACGGAATCGGTGTGAAGGCGGATGAAAGAAAAGCTTTCGAGTTTTACGAGAAATCTGCACTTGCAGGAAATCCAAGAGCTCAACGTAATCTTGGAGTATGCTATCTTCAAGGAATTGGAACCCAAAGGGATTCCGAAAAAGCTTTCTATTGGTACGAAATATCTGCGAAAGCTGGCGCATCTAATGCTCAATATAATCTAGCCGAATGTTACCTTCATGGTGTGGGCGTAGAGAGAAATGATGGAAAAGCATTCTACTGGTTTCAGCAGTCGAATCAGGGGGGAAATTTAGAAGCAAAATTTATGCTCGCAATCTGTTATATGCAAGAAATTGGTACTTCTCGCGATTCCAAATTAGGTTTCAAATTCTTCAAAGAAGCTTCTGATCGAGGGCATTTAGACTCAAAACATCGTCTTGGCACTTGCTATATGACCGGTACTGGAGTTACAGAGGATAAATCAAAAGCATTTAAGCTTTGGTATGATGCAGCTATGCTAGGATCAAATAACGTTCAGAATGAGCTAGCGTGTTGTTATTGTATCGGCGAGGCGGTTCAAAGAGATTTACATCAGACTATCCGATGGCTTCGTAAAGCTATCGATAATAACGATGGAGAATCGATGAAGAATTTGGAAAATCTGTTTAAAAGTGAGAATTCTATGTTCGCTTTTTAAGAGATATATCAATCTATTTTGTATATTTAACTTATATAGCTTTTAGATCACAATAATTACATGTTCCGTAATAGAGTGTTATATACAAAGTCTATTGTACGAATGCTATAATACAAAAGTCTTTTTTTGATGCTATAATACAAAAAGTCCATT